CTCACACATCACCAGATCACCACCAGGCACCCACACCACCAGCTCTCAAAAATTGTTCACTCATGGTTCCATAAGATCAGTGCTCACCGGGCTGCCCATGGGGACAAGAAGCTTTTGCAAACTTTTTGGAGCCATTTATAGTTTTAGAGCAGGGAGGGTTGATCACATTTGGGCAAACGTTATTTCTTTGCTGCCAGGCAACCCTGTGGGTGCAGATGCTGGGGATGACTCAGAAAACACTTGGTTAGTTGTCAAGAGCTGGTGGCCAGAATTAATTTGTCATCATTTGTTTGTTCTTTTTTAAGCAAATCTCTCCATCCTCGAAGGCTTTATTGGGATCCACCCACAGTGGTGGGAAGCAGGAGAGCACTGAGTGCCCGGGATTCCAGCACAGGGACCACACTCACCCACGGCAGGGCTGTCCCTTCCCARGCAAACCTGCCCCTGGCAGCTTTTGGGAACAATTGTGAACAATTTTTAAGTCAGATATCTGTTTTAACATAGCTGCACTAATAAACATTCCTCATATAATTATGTATATAATAAGAAGAACCATCATCATCATCATTACAATCATCATTATCATCACCATTTGAGAATAAAACAGTAAAAACTCGATGTCCCTTACCTTGTTGGAAAGCAGGCAAAGGCTATACAGTAGGTGGAAGAGTGTTCCAAGTAACAGACTTTTGAACACTCTTTCTTACTGCTGGTAAAGCGTCTACAGGGAAATAAACACACAATTTGTAGGATGGGTCTGGCACAGGGAACACACCCAGCCTGAGCCAGGCTTAGCAGGGGAGCCTGAGGGGCACCAGCACAGGGAAACAGCTCTTTGGGACACCCCAAATGAACAGTGCAGAGTGCTCAGTATTTCCCAACACAGAGCAGAGGCTCAGAGAGAGCAGGGATGGCTCAGAGAGAGCAGGGCTGGCTCAGAGAGAGCAGGGCTGGCTCAGAGAGAGCAGGGCTGGCTCAGAGAGAGCAGGGCTGGCTCAGAGAGAGCAGGGCTGGCTCAGCAGCCTTTCCCTCCTCTCCCTGAACCCACTCTGGGAGATTTTGGCTGCAGTTTCAGACCCCCCGACCCTCCTCAGGCACTCACAGGTTCCTTGTTATCACCAACACCAGATCAGAGAAGTGTCCAAGGCCRGGCTGGACRGGGTTTGGAGCACCCTGGRCCASTGGAGGGTGGAAGGTCCCTCCCAGCCCAACCRTTCTGTGGGTCCATGGAAGCAAACACTGCCCATGCAGCCCTGGACAGGCACCACCTCCCCATCACCAAACCACCACACTGCTSATTTCCTCATTTCTGTCAGCTAAAGCCACGAATTAAAACAAGCTGCCTGGGAAAAGGAGTAATTACATGTAAATCTCAATAGAAGTTAAGCGTGGGTTGGAGGTTCAAACGTTCCTCTCCCAGTCTGACACTCTGCTCTTGCAGCAGAAACTCGAGCAGACAGCCCAGTGGGGCCCTCACTGCCTGCTCCACCTCAGGCTCCACAAAAAAACATCTCCCCAAAGTGTGAAATTCAACCAAAAACAGAGGAGAGCACACCAGAGTGATCCCAGGGCCGGGAGCTGCTGTGCTCCACATCCTGCTGGTCCCAAACGAGCACTGGGTGACAGCAGGCACGTGCCAGATGGCAAACAGCAATGATTGAGAGACTTYTCCTAAATAGATTGGAAAGCTTGGCCTTAATAGATCCCATTCAGCCCGAAAATCCTCCTACATTGTGGCTGTGGAGCTCAGCTTGTGAAACTTCATCCTAAGGAGTTCTGTAACACGGTGAGTCCTGGTTCCCCCATGGGTGGGAGATGAGCTCACAGCATTTCAAGCGATTCTCCTCTCATTTTGATCAGTGCCTTCTTTTGGCCTCACTCCAAACCCCAGTGTTTGAGCCCACCTCTCCCAAGGGCTCTGCACATTTTTTTCCAAGCCTAAATCTGTCAGATTGCCCAGARTTGGGTGTGGTGGCTCCACAGTCTGAGCATCACCTGCCCCTGGGAAGCCACTGCTGGAATTCAGAACTTGCAGCTTGTCATGAACATCCTCAGTTCATGGTCACAGAAGGACAGAAGGGTTTGGGTTGGAAGAGACCCCAAAGTTCACCCAGTGCCACCCCAGCCATGGCAGGGACACCTCCCACTGTCCCAGGRTGCCCCAATGTCCAGCCTGGCCTTGGGCACTCAAAGGGATCCAGGGGCAGCCACAGCTGCTCTGTCTTTTTAAAGATCTACTAAAAATTGGAGATTTTTTTCTGTTTTTCTGGTTTGACAGTGGCCCGTCAGCAGGACAGGCCATAAATGTGGGCTCAGTCCCCAAATTCCCGGTGTTTGGAGGTGCAGGGATCCCGTGCTGGTGCTCCCTGGCTCTYGGGACACATCAAACACTTTCCCACAGGAATGGCAGCTCCAGCAGCTGAGCAAGCAACAGCAGCAGCCCGGGGGTGAGAAGGGATGGAAAATCAGAGTGCAAACCCCAAACTGTACTGACACAGCCCAGGGGTGAGAAGGGATGGAAAATCAGAGTGCAAACCCCAAAAGTACTCACACAGCTCAGCGGTGAGAAGGGTTAGAAAATCAGAGTGCAAACCCCAGTGTATCCACACGGCCCAGGGATGAGAAGGGACAGAAAATCAGAGTGCAAACCCCAAACTGGACTCACACAGCCCAACAGGTGAGAAGGGATGGAAAATCAGAGTGCAAACCCCAATGTGCTCACACAGCTCGAGAGGTGGGAATGGTTAGAAAATCAAAGTGCAAACCCCAGTGTATCCACACGGCCCAGGGATGGGAAGGGATGGAAAATCAGAGTGCAAACCCCAAAAGTACTCACACAGCTCAAGGGGTGGGAAGAGACAGAAAATCAGAGTGCAAACCCCAA